TCTGCCTTCTCTGAATTGAATTTTGCTGTAGAACATCAATAGCTCAACGTCAGTGCTTCCATCGCTTACTTTGGAGCCCAGTGGGGCAGCAAAGGCTGTTAAGATGATTTCCCAGAATAGTTTTTTTCCCCACACATCCCTACATCTAACATGAATCTATTCATTACCACTCACTGCGATGGCAATTATGAAAAATGTATTTTTATTGATTTGTGGGATTATGTAAACCAATTATGCAACTGTACCATTGATGGCAGTGTGAGTAACATGATCAATACTGTCACGTTTTCCAGATGAGATTTGACGTTCTGTTTTTGTAGTGCCAATTACATCAGTGGCCTATTTCAATACAAATATCTCATGTCTTTCTAAACATGAGACTGGAAATGAGGACTGCGCCCCTGAAAATCAATTTCAAGCAGGTGATAGAAAAATAATTATTCTTATAATAAAAAAGAATGCTCGAGGGTTCAAAGGGTTTAAATTAAATTCTACTTTATTTGTATAGTGCTTTTCAAAATGCATATCTTTTCAAAGCAGCTTTACAAAAACTTTACTTTTCATACATTTTGAAGTAAAAAAATAATTACATAATTATTAAAGGGATAGTTCACCCACAAATTCTGTCATTTAAAACTCGTAAGACTTTCACTCAACTTTGGAACACAAATGAAGATCTTTTTGATGAAATGTGAGAGATTTCTTTCCCTCCATTGACAGCTTACACAACCGACACTTTGATGCTTCAAAAAGTTTAATCCAAATGAATTGAGCAGTTTAATCCAAATTTTCTATCGAGACATGATCGATTTATATGATGAACAGATTGAATTTAGGCTTTTATTCACATAAAACATAAACATTGATCAGCTAACATACACAAAAGCTCAACCAAACTTGCTTGACATGCAAGAACAAACTTCATGCAGAAGCTCAAAAGTGCTGCGTAACACGAGAATGAACCGCATTGGTTCTCGCATGTTAAGCGAACATGATTGAGCTTGCATTTACCATAACTTATGTGAGTTGATGAATGTTTATGTGAATAAAAGCCTAAAATAAATCTGTTCATCATATAAAGAGATCAAGTCTCTTCAGAAATTTTGAACTAAATCACTCAATTCATATGGATTAGTTTTACAATCTCTTTATGAACTTTTTTAAGCATCAAATTGGTAGTTGCCTAACTGTCAATGGAGAGAGAGAGAGAAAGCTTGCAGATTTCATCAAAAATATCTTAATTTGTGTTCTAAAGATGAATGAGGTCTGAAGAAGGTGTCACGGGTTTGGAATGACATCAGAGAGAGTAATTATTGATAGAAAAGTCATTTTTGGGTGAACTATTCCTTTATTCTTTTAAATACCGTTTTACTTTAAAAAAAACAAATGTACTTTTGGTATTGAAATGAATATTATTATTATGTAAAAAAAAAGTTGTAGTAAATTTCCATTGCACCCCTAAAGATCTTACTGTGCTCCTAAATTTTCAACTTAGCTTAGCAACTTAGCATGTTCTCCTTCTGAGAAATTGTTAGGATTTAGGCCATGTGTCCACCAAAGCGTTTTTAGCCAGCTGAAAACGCTAGACGCTCTGCTGAAGACGCCGTACTTTGGGCGGTTGAGAGCGTTTTGGCAGCGCAGCGTTTTTTCTGTTGAGACGTTTCGTTGCTATGATACAGAATATCCGCAGCACAGTTTGAATGTTGTGACAGTTGGTCAATTTGGTTTAGTCCTGCCCCTCCTCCACTGTGATTGGACGGCTGGGTAAAAAGTGACAGTGATGAGCGCTGTGTTTTATCCATTTTTCAACTTTTGGCGACCAGTAAAAAACGCCGGGCGTTCGGCACTTCAGCGTGAAAAAAAAAACCGCGCAGCGCCTCGTCACGGTCATGGCATTTAAAAAACGCGGCGCTCCCATTGAAAACAATTGAAAACAGACGCCAGGCGTGGACACACGGCCTAAGCCCTGTCGGGATCACAGCGCACGCATCCATGGTCTTCACCATATACCTTAAGCCGGGGTGTTCAACAACACTACACGCCCCCAAATAAAAAATTTGGTTGTTGGTTGCAATCGCAAGGTCTCTCGCTCTCTGCAAAGAAAAAAAAAAATATATATATATATCAAGATGACTTGTCATGTGGTTTCATCTATTTCATATTAACCCTCCCTAAAGGACACATAAGCTAAATGAATTGTGTTTGCCCCTTTAAATTACTGAAATGTTCTCTTCATGTACAAGTAGGAAGCTCTTGACCAAAATAAGCTGCATTCGATAGTCTAAATTAAAGATTTGGGCCTAGCTCACATGGAAAACAGTATTTTTTTTCCCCTTAAACATCCTGTTTAGGTCAGAAGATTAGAGAGAGTGTGGTAAATGGCTTTAAAAGTTTAAAAGTTTAAGAGTATTTTTACAGGTTGCAATAATTACAGCAGTAAATCACAGACAGCAAAGTGACATTGAATCAACGTGGAAACGACGTCTCTCATGACATCAAAACAACGTTGATTTTGCTCATCGAATTAACGTTGAACCAACGTCAGACGCGGCATTCTTCAAAGCTAAATGAAAATCGAAAATTGGTTTGCTTTCATAACGTTGAAACAACATTGATTTCAAGTTGATTTTACGTTAGTTTTGAAAGAATGATGCGTCTGACGTTGGTTTAACGTCAATTCGATGAGCAAAACAATGTCAAGATCAACGTTGTTTCGATGTCATGTTTCCACGTTGATTCAATGTCAGTTTGCTATCTGGGATATATGCCTCACTTCACAGACGTTTCTATGTGTGAACTTTCCTTGTAACTCCTTCTTCTCGGTGTACTGTGCTAGCAGGCTGCAAGTAAAAGCGTCCTTGCCATCTTTAGGTCTAATGAAGGCACAGTTTCTCCGTATGAGTCATGTCCAGTGGAATTGGCTCTGAGAGCAGTGACTCTTTCAGATCTCTGGTCTGTGAGTTTATGAATTATACACTAGCACATCAGGCCAAAGAGAGTAATGATGTTCACTTTAACTTCTTCTGTAGATCAAAGTTGAATGCTATCCAGCTTTCTCTCTATCTCTCCTTTTTGCTTCCATCTTTATCCTTCCCTGACTCTTTTTCTCTCTCACACACAAACATGCTAGAATGTGCTCACAAACACACTTAAACACACAGTAGTAGTATTAAAATCTAAGAAAGAATAACTGTGATTCATAAATTCAAAAAATATAAAACGAGAGTGAAAAGAGGTAGAGTGTTGTGAGAATTGTGCAACACATCTGACAGCACAAGCATTGTGATTTGAGCTGTAAAAGCTAGAAGCTGATCTCAGCCTCCAGAGCGTTAGAGCTCATCCTAGTTAACAATGCTGTCCGGAAGACCCAGTCTGCCACACTGAGGAAGATCAGAGAAAACTTTATTGTTCACGGATTACTCTTTTATAGCCCAGGAGGCTATAAACTTATGTTATGTAACTTTAGCAAGGATGCCATGCAATTACTTGAGGACTAATAACTTTTAAAATTGAATGAGATTGGGGCCAAGGGGTTAATTGGGATTGAGCCTAAGTTGATATTACTTATTTTTCAGACATTATATGTTTATTTAATATTTCTTTAAATATTACTAATTCTGTTACCACCCTGATATGAAGAATAAAGGGAGTAAATTGTCAGTAGATTCAAACAAAACTTAAACTTTGTGAACTGGTTCATAAGAGTCATTTGTTCCTGAATTGGACAACATTTTTGTTGGTTTGTTTTTGTGTTATTTTCGTGGTGCCCCGATCTGTTCATCTCATCACATTCAAATCAGTCTGCAAACTCATAACTCAGATAAAATATAATTTGTTGTGCCGTGGCGCTGCACATTCAGCAGCTCAGCAAACACTAGTAGACATAAAGTCGGAGTATAGAGCTATAAAATAAAAATGAATATCAACGCTCACATAATTTGCTTTCTGCAGAACTTGATGAGAATTTTTTTTACATATATGTTATTGAAATTACTGACTTTTGATTGCAGGCAACAGCTGCGACAGTTTGTGAAATTGTTGAGACAGTTTAGCAAAAGTCTCTATTTGCTTCGTTCTCACTGTTGTATCACTGGAGAAACAACTGAGATATTAATGAGATTAGTGATTTTTCTTTTCTGAGAGGTTCCAGAACACCGGGCAAGACTCTACCCAATTTAGCACTTCAGACGCTCACGCTGAGTCCCGCTGGTCTCGGAAAGCATTTCTGTCCTCGTATGATCCCAGGGGACACCTCTGTAGTTTCAGCGAGACAAGTAGATGATGGCAGCAGAGGTCATGTTATTGATCACGAGGACATGGAGCGCGAGAGAGAGAGACGGAGATTGCAAAGGAAACTGAGAGAGCCGTCTGCAGTGAAGCATCAGGGGAACAGAAGCCCAGCAGGGAAGCATTTTGATAAATGAATGTCATTTTAGGACTATATAGTGCAGGATCTATTCATTGACGTCACTCCTGATAGAAGTGTGTGGGTATTCGGCCGTCTAGAAGTTGCTTTCCGTGTTCTACTGGGAACAGAACAAGATGAGTAATGATAGAGGCATGATTCTCTCACATACGCGCACACACAATCTCAAAGTATACAGAATTATGAGCTGCCCTGCTGAGTGCTGGATCCCACACATCAGTGTGTGGTGGTCCAGATACAGTGAAATTTTTGCTTCTGTGTGATGCTTTATTGAACCCAAGCACAACTAAATCACAGCTTCCGTGGATCGGGTTAATGAAAGAAAGGCATATCTTTTCACTTGTCCATCCCCTTTGCTTTTGTGTGTGCATTTTGCTGTTTTGTGGGCAAAAAGTACCTGAAGCCGCCTTCCATAATTTTCACAGAGTTTGTACCTCATTGGGAAGAGGTGTGTGTTCGTGTGTTTTGGGATCTGTTGTGTGTTTTGTAGGACTATTAAGAAAAATAGATGTGTGCGGCTGAACCTGCAGCTCTGTGTGTGTGTGTGTGTGTGTGTGTGTGTGTGTGCGTGTGTGTGTGTGTGTGTGTGTGTGTGTGTTGGAGAGAAAGATGGCCAGGTCTGTGAGCAGGTGCTGGAGTTAATGAGTGTGTTTCCCTCTAGAGTGTAAGACCATATGACCTTGTGTGGCGGGTAAGACATGGCTCCTTTGGAATAGCACTCTAATATATCACCTCCATGTGTGTGTGTGTGTCTGCAGGTTTTCAGGGACTATTATCATTTCCAGCACAGGGGTGTGGTGAGAAGATCTTTGTCCGGTCATCACGGGGTTCATGTCCGACTGCACACCGAGCCACAGGTAAAAACCAGCCACATGCAAAGTCACACACAAACACGTCTGTACAGCTCACAAAGGGGAGAACGGAGGAGAATAGATGTGAGAAAAGGGTGGGAGGTGATGAAACGACAAAAGATGAGAGGACACGAAAGGTGAGGAGATGTGAGGAAAATGAATAAAAAAGAGAAAGGAGGAGGAAAAGGAGAAGATGGGAGGGCAAGATAAGAAATGAGGAGAAAGTAAAAGGAAAAGGAGGAGAGAAGAAGAGAAAAACAGGAAATGAGGGGACTAGACAAGAAGGTTTGAGATTCAATGAGAGAAGAGGAGATGTGACGGGAGGTGGAGGAAAAGAGAAGAGATGAAAGGAAGATATGAAAAGTTAGGAGACAAGACTGGAGGAGATGTGATGAAAGGGAAAAGGCCACAGATGAAATAGGATTAAATGAGATGAAGGGATGGATGTGAGAAGAGAAAATGAGAAGGAAGGGGGACATGAGACAGAATGAGTGAGGGGGAGAGAAAAAAACGAGATAAAACAAGATGGGACAAGACAAGAGGAACAAAAAGTGGAGACAGAAACAAAGGAGACATTGAGAGAAGAGTACAGATATAAGGTTAGTAGGTTGGAGAAGAGATGTGAAGAAAGATGGAGAAGTAATGAAAGGAGAGGTTATGAAAGAAAAGGAGACCTAGAGGAGAGATGGGACAAGACCAGACAACGGGAAAGGAGAGACAAAAGAAGAACACAAGTAATTAAATAAAAATGAAACTAGAGAAGAGGAGAGAGAGGTGAGGCAAGACAGGATGGTTGGGGATAAAATGAAAGGAGGTGCGAAGAAGTGGAGGAAAAGAGATGGATATGGCAATATGGGAGGAGACATCCTGAAATGGGACAAGGGATTAGAGGAACAGATGATGAAATGAGAGAGATGGACACAAGAAGCAAGGGAAGGGAAACGGGTTAAATGATAGGAGAGAAATTGAGACGAGAGATGAGATATTGAAAGAAAGGTGGGGGGAAGAGGAGGAGTAAAAGAGGATATAGTAGGAGGATGAGAATAAATAAGGAGACGAGATGAGGAGAGGAGGCCAGACTAGAGAATGGGGTGGGAATCTTTTACCATCTCACGATTCAATTAGATTCAAAGATTTTCCATTCAAAACGATTTTATCCATGATTTCTAATCGGGTTTCTGATCATGATCTACTCTCATCTGCTTTGCTATACAGAATGACAAACGAGACATTAAAGTGTCTTTTTTACATTTGTTAAGTTCAATTCTCAGGGAAGTGCGTTTTATCAAAAACATGGTCTGGTTCTCAATTGCTACTCATTAGTAGCTAGCTATAAAATAAGTTACGGAACAAAAATAAAGTGCTTCTTCATAATACAAAATGGTTGAAAATAGATGCATTTCCAAGGGAAAGTTGCGGTTTACCTCAAATATCATGTAGAAAACAAGCGGAGAAGACAAAGAAAAAACATCTATATTTCCATCTATATAGCTCTTTGGTGATGAAGCAGGCGATCTCGGAGTTGGCAGGGAGTTTCGTGAAGCACTGAAGTGTGCGTTGGTCTGCAGCTGGCGGCTGACTTTGCTTCGTGTCGCTGAGCTCGGGGTGATGCCTAGTGATATGAGCCCGTGCATTTGTTGTGCTGCCGAAGTACTTGGTCTTTGTTTTGCAAAGCTTGCACACTGTGTGTTTCCAGTGCAGTGCAATGTCCAGTGCAGTGTAGGGGTGGCACGGTTCACAAAACCCACGGTTCGGTTTGTATCACGGTTTTAGGGTCACGGTTTTCGGTTCTGTACGGTTCTTGTTATTTTTTCTTTTAATCTTTAACACTCCAGAAATGTACTTCAGCATGTGATATACACTTTAGGATACAGCATTAAAAAAATATATATTATATTCATGCAATCATGCACAAACTGAATTTGACTCTTTGACTTTAAGCACATTTTGGGACTATCTCAGAGGAAAGCTAGGTGAGATTTAGATACAGCAAGAGAGAAGAAATTGACATGCTTTTTGTTTATTTGGCAAAAAAAAAGGAGAATGTGTATCACTATCTCTACAAGAACTTGTGCATTTTTATCACATAAATCTTATTTACACAAAGAAATTAACTTTCATGTATCAACTGCTAACTTTTGTAGCTCTTACCAAAATTCTATCTTTTAAAAGAAAAATAGAGGAACTGTCTTTTAAATGTCAATATACATGAAACCTCATTGCCTATAGATAATTAAGCTATAGCAATAGCAAAGGCCATAAACATAAAGTGAAATTTAAGTTCAACCTCAACACAAAAACAGTATCAACAATGCTTCTATTCCCAAAATGTGAGGGTACTTTTTTCCACTTAAAATTAAAGTGCAGGGTTTGGAAACGTATTACTGAAGCTCTTATCTATACATAAAGTGCCACTGTAGCGTTATATTAAAATATCATAACATGAAATCCAAAATGTTCCCACACACCGGACTTATACCATAGACTTATACGACGCTGGCGCATCCTCCAACTCCCTCATCTCCCCCACTTGCCATTTCTCCGCGTGCCGTGACCTGCAGCGCTCCATACTCCACTTTTACTGGCTTGTTTATTAACTTGAACCGGCGCTGCACAGAGCGATCGGTAATGACATCAAATACCGCGAAAGTGATGAATGCATATGGAGCCGACTCGCGCTAGATTGATGTTATTCACCGATCGCTCTGTGCAGCGCCGGTCCAAGTCGAACAAGTTTATGTCGCGCGAAAAGAAAACACACGTCACATACGGGCACGAGGTTACATTGTGCATGCGTCGAACCGTGAGACGCACACGCGCTCCGAACCGAGACAAGCGAACCGAACGGTTCGGGTGTTTTTTCATGTACCGTGCCACCCCTAGTGCAGTGCTTCCAGGCATTCGGTAAAAAACGAAATGACGTCAAACTTTAGCTTTAAGTGAAGATGGGGCTGGTTGGATCTCCCTCTCATCCATATTTGCTTCCTCTTTTTTTTAGTGATGGTAAATGGACTGCATTTATATAGCGCTTTCATAGACCTAATGGCCACCAAAGCGCTTTACATTCGCCTCACATTCACCCATTCACACACTCATTCATACACCGACGGCGGTGTCAGCCATGCAAGGCGCCAGCCAGCTCGTCGGGAGCAGCTGGGGTAAGGTGTCTTGCTCATGGACACCTCGACAATTGGTCAGGTGGAACCGAGGATTGAACCACCAACCTTTCGGTTTCTAGACAACCCACATGAACCACTGAGCCACTGCCGCCCCAATGTGATGTGCCGCTCACGTTTGAAAAATGGGGGAGTGGTGACGTCCGGACGTCCCGTATAGGCTAATTACAAGAATGGAGGCGAACAGCCAGCTGATTTTATTTACATTTATTCATTTAGCTGATGCTTTTATCCAAAGCGACTTACAATTGCTATATATGTCAGAGGTCGCACACCTCTGGAGCAACTAGGGGTTAAGTGTCTTGCTCAGGGACACATTGGTGTCTCACAGTCAATTCGAACCCAGGTCTCTCACACCAAAGGCATGTGTCTTATCCACTGCGCCACCACCTATTTATTTATTAAATCGATTCTTGGACATTTCAGATTGAAATGAGAATCTAGATTCGTCTGTGAATCGATTTTTTTTTTGGCACACCCCTACTAGAGAAGTCATTAGCATGCCATGACAAAGTTAGTTGGGCCAGAGTCTCATGATTGACTGCCTGTGATGATTTGTTGTGTGTGTGATAGTAGTACTGAAATGCAGGATTCTGGCTGTGCCGATAAGTTATCTGAGAGCAGCTCAGGCGTCCCGAGCCACTGCGTATTTAGGCCGCCGGCTGCAGGCTCCCATAGATCTTCTGCTGACCAGCCTCTTATCTTCACTCTCTGAAGCTTCAGTCGCAAGTTAAAACTCTGTGCACGCTCCGGATATCCAACTACATGGCAAATACTGATGCCCTCCCAGACCCAACCTGCTCACCAGATGCCAGCGAAAGACATCCATGACTCCGAACACTGATCCATGACAGCAGAGACGAGAGAGGGGGAGATACAAGCTGGATTACGGCTCCTCTGTGTGCGAGCCTCTATTTATGCAAGGCTGACAGCGCCAGGGTACCGCTCTGGGCCTATTTCTGTTGCGGGGGGTCAGGCGTTCTTGTTGCCAGGGTTCATCTTGGCACAAGCCTCACACGTACAACGCACACACATGCAACGCCTGCTCTGTATTCCGAGTTCGGCATGGTTTTATGCTAATAAAGCAGATTTCTGAAGGCTGCCGCTTGTAAGCACATTAACTCCAGTGATGGAAATTTATACGAAATTGAATGCAGGTACGTGAACATCTACTCCCTTGCTAAATGGAATTTAATTCCCTCGCAAGAAGTCAAATTGAAGTTCTCAAAGTTTTGCTGCTGAACGAAGGGCTGCGAGATGTGAAGGGAACAGGAAATGCATTCTTCCTCCAAATCTGACCTGGCCCTAGTCCACATTTGCTTTTTTCATGATAAATTTAGGCCAGTGCTGGCATTAATGCAAAACAAGGGCGTAAAGGACGACTCACTCAAAGGATTTTGAGTGTGCGTGTGTCTATTGTTCTTGTGTGAATCTCCCTCGTCTTTCAGCAGAACACTCGCTGTGAACACTTGCTACTTAAAAGTATATAATAATAAAATGATTTGTATTGTTAGACTGGAAGGATTAAGCTCATTCTTTTGCACTGACATACAACATCGTAGTTTTTAGATGATCCTTTGGTTTGGTTTGAAGCACATTACATTGCCATCTTGTAACTTTTGTGTTGTGGTCGACTGATACATTGCCAAGGCCGATATATTAGACAGAATTTACATCACCCAATATGTTTTTCTGTTTGTCCAATGTATTGACTGCGCTGAGAGCTCGCTCTCAGAACAGCAGCGCTTGAGCACACAGCGCTCCCATTCTCTGTCTTCATTAGTTATGCTCTCTGTTTAACAATTTTATATAATACATTACTAGATATAACTGTTAAACAAAGAAAGTAAACTGTATATGAAAAAGTAATATTGCGTTTGCTTTTATATTATTCGTAACAGAAAGACAAACACTATTAATACTTTCTCATTTGCCATCAACATTCAGCAAAATAATATGTATTTATATTAGTGCTGTCAAACGATTAAAATATTTAATCGCGATTAATGTCATACTTAACTCGCGATTAATCGCAATTAACCGCACATTTTTATCTATTCTAAATTTCTCTTGATTATTTTTGTCCCATTATTTTTTTTCCTCATTTTAATGCCCTTATCAACGTGGAAAAGTGGATCGGCTTGCTTTGTGCAAATGTTTTTTATTGAAAACAACATTGCCATATACTGGCATGGCATGTTCAAATTCACACTAACTCACTTGGAGCAAATAATCTCTCACACAATGAACACTGTCCATCAATAAAAGGGTGAAAGAAATACTGACGAGGTCCTGATATTGACGAGTGGGCGGAGAATTCGCATCAGCTGTGTGTGTGTGTGTGTGTGTGTGTGCTTGGCCATCATCAAGTGGTATTTCAGACTGGACGTGCTGCGATGATGATAGCTCGGTTCACAACGACAAAACACACAGATCACTTTGGTCTTGTCAATGGATCCATTTGGCAACTTTTTAGTAAAGTAAAGTTTCCATTCAGAATCTTATTGGCATCCATTTCGGCGTCTCGCACTCGTCATCCACTCAAAACGTAACGTTAACCAACTTTTGGCCGGCTAGCAAGCCCAAACGTGTATGCGGCGTCCCTGTTGTTTTGTTTACGGTCTAGCTAGATCCGCTTGCGCTTTGGTCGGCGAGGCAACAAAACGGCCTCGCGCGGCGCAAACCATTGAAATGAATGGGTTTCATAGCGCAGCGCGCGCATGCCGCGTCCTGTTGCAAAAGCATGTGAAAGAAAACTACAAAGTTTGCCAGGCCAAAAAGACCGTTAATCGCACGATAAAAAATTGACGCTGTTAAAATGGGTTTGCGTTAACGCCATTAATAAAGCGTTTAACTGACAGCCCTAATTTCTATAATTGAATGAAACAAATCTTTGAATATGTAATAAACATTTAAATAAGTAACAAAAATTAAAGTATCGGCATCTCTGGAAAAAGTGGTATCGGTGCATTGCTACAGACTGAAATAAAAAAGAGAGTAAATTGCAACCTCCAAGCACACATTTAATTATGTAAACAATGCTTTGTGGTGAAACGCCAAAGTGGTAGGTGTTGTTTCTAAGAAGAAAGTTTTCAGAGAAGTTGATGGAACTGACTTAAAAATAAGAAAGAGGCGAGAGTTAATCGATTTAATCTGTGGGCTCTCTGGCTGTACCCTTGTGAAAATAAAAATGAATTCTGTATATGAGGCCTGTGGACCTTTAAGCTCATTTAAAACAATTGTTTTTCAGAGATGCACTTCATACGTCCATTTGGACCCTAATTAGATTTCATACTCCGCTGCTCATACCTCTGTTAGTGCGAATGCTAATGTCTATGCGCTATGTTAGTCATGTCCATCTCATCACACAAAACTGCTCTGAGGATTTTTTTTTTTGCTCAGAGGTTGCTCTTTAATAGCTCGATAGACTTAAGGCAATTCTAAGTTATGTCTAAGTGTTTGTCTCAGATGTTTCAATTAAAATCCCTTAGAGATAAAAATAGACGAACAGTAAGTGGATAAAGTGGATAATATTGCTCAGATAATTTGATATAGAAAGAGTCAAAGAGATGGATGAGAATTATTTGAGAATTATCTCTCACTTGTCATTGCAGATTTGGCATCGTTGCAAATCTGAGCTAAATGTGATGCGAGATCTCTTATGAAACATTAGACATTAGACTTTTTTTTGGAGAAAATATTGAGAACCCATTTTCATAATTCCTGATTAAAGGGTCCATGAACTGCATCGTTTTATTGGTTTATATGTTTCCTGTGGTGCACTTACAATGTTTGCATGATTTTTACATAAAAAATGGTCATAATTTAGAAATAAAAGGCATTTTTCCTACCCTGATTTTAGCCCTCTGATTTGAATGCCTTGTTTGAAGTCTGCTGTGAGGCTTTAGTAGTGAAATGCCCACTGCTGTGATTGGCTTACATCTTTTGTATATGGAATAGCCAAGTATTACATCTTTAACTCTCTCAAAATCTTTTAGCAAGTTTTTACTATTACAGTTCTCAAGGTATAATAATCGGGAAAAGTTTTAATTATAGCATTATATATGGATCTATAGCATTATATTTCGATTGTGGAATGAAAGGTTGCAGTGATGTGCATTGTAGTTGATGTGGTGATCTTGTTATTGCAACTCGATTTCTGCAATCTAAGGAATTGAACGCATTGATCTTTGTTTTTGAACGCTATGAGTTTTGTTCAGAACTCAGTCCAAACTCATTTAATCACAGTTTAAATAATAGATTATTTTCATCCTACTAAGATAAACAATGTGAAGTTGACCGTTTAGTCACTGGTTTGATTTACTGACACAAAGAACATCTGATTCATTATTATATATCAGATCATTATATTATATACCATTATATATCAGAAATCACTGGTCACAGATCAGGCATTAGAATTAACACATACTTACATGTTGGTGGATTACTGTCGAAAAGTCTTTAAACTAGATTGCTGTCTAAGAGATTAAAATTATATATCATAGAGATCTTATTTTTTATTTATTTGGGTGGGACACGGAACCACATAAAAAATTAATACGCAAATGGTCACACAGAGCTAAATGAAATGCTATAAAATACAGCAGATTGAAAAGAACCGTGTGATAGTGTGAAATGTGGGTATTTTTAGAGTGAGGACAAGCTGTGCAGAAGGGATATACTCCTTGAGTTAAAAGTGACAATAGAGAAGAGTGTGATTTTCAAGGATGTAGGTGTGTAATATTTGAAAAATTGACTAATCTGTGTGTGTGTGTGTGTGTGTGTGTGTGTGTGTGTTTTCAGGTGATTTGGGCAGAGCAGCAGATTTCCAAGCGAAGATGCAAGAGAGACATTCATATTGAACCCACAGATCCAAAATTCCCTCAGCAGTGGTACCTGGTATGTTAAAAGTTACTATATATTTTATTTTGTGGTTGTACATTGAGCTTTTAAATGCAATGTATCGAAAGTGCCACTGCTTCTACAGTGTAAAGGAATCAACCCTTGATTTGTGAGCTTTCACATTCTCTCTGATCCTTTGCCGCTCTAAATCCACCATGTTTGTTTTGAAATATATAAACATTCTGTGTGCTTCTAGTCTCAAGACAACATAACAACAAAATAGACCCTTTTTCTTAATCAGGTTAATCACCTGATTATCTTAATTTGCGTCTACACTAGTTATCTTTGGGGTCTCCAGGGACCCCAGACAATAGCATTTAATTTTGTAACAGAAACATTTTATTTTTTACAAATGTAATTCTACTCTGTTTATTAATGTTTTTACTCAACATTTGTGCATTTTTTTGGATTATTTATGATATCATTTACATTTCTATAAATAAATATTTATTTAAATATGCTTTTTTTGTTTTTTAAAACAGCATTTTATGCAAAATGCTCTTTATAAAAGACCCAGATTTCTAACTTTCATTCATGAAGATAACATGGATAATTTTACATGGTTTAACGTAAGATTTTTGGCCATTTTTTGGGAAAATGCAGTAAAAAAAATCTCTTTAAATGTATGCTTATCTGACAAATTTTTATGTCTTATTTTGTATAAATCTACCATTCAAAAGTAATAGCATGAGGTTGGTAAGAATTTCTCATATGCTTACCAAAACTGCATTTATTTGATGAATAATACAATGAAATTAATAATGTGAAATATTATTGCAGTTTAAAATAGTTGTTTTCTAATATATAATGTATTCTTTGTGTTCATCACACCTGCTTTATGTGGTTAGATTAAAAATGTACTTAAATGCACCTCAGAGACTGAGAGTGTCCCATTTTATCGGACAAAAGACTTCCACACGTAATAACCTAGAATACCGTCTAACATTTGATGGCTGCTCTGTTAAGTCTTCGTTGTCGGTTAGAAACCTGGGTGTGCTCTTTGATACCAATCTCTCATTTGAAAATCATGTGTCTAGTATCTGTAAAACCACATTTTTCCATCTTAAAAATATATCTAAATTACGCCATATGCTCTCATTGACAAATGCGGAACAATTAGTTAATGCATTCATGACATCAAGGCTAGATTATTGTAATACTCTAATGGGTGGTTGCCCTGCACGCTTAATAAACAAACTACAGCTAGTTCAAAACGCAGCAGTTCGAGTTTTTATATTGTGATAAAAAATCTCCTTAGAATAACATGCACTGATTTTTCTTTTACAATAAGAGCAGACATTTATTAACCCTCTGATTATCTTCGGGGTCTTTTTAACCCGCAAATGACTTTTACTCAAATATTGAAAAAAAAAATTCTCTTTGTCCAAATGGTATGAAACTTTCTACGGCTCTAAATACTTTCTAGATCTAAAATAGTGACACTAGTTGTCGTCGGGGTCCCTTGAGACTGTGCATAGTAAATATATAAAATTCATCATCAAAATCGGAAACAACGCAGATCACATAGACAGAAATAAAGTCGCACACTTCCAACTAGGGCTGGGTACCGAGTTTGATACTTTTTAGGTACCGACCGAATTGCCTTGATACTATCGAGTGTCGGAAAATGACTTGTTGTTCGGTACTAGATTTCGATACCTAAGGGGTTAAATATATGAATTTTAGGAAGTATAGAATGTTATTTTAATAGTAATTAGCTCAAAAAACTACAAATTTGGATAAAAAAAGATAAAATTCAGTAGCATTATTATATATATTATATATAATGTGTTTATATCCTGTCAACCATATTATTTCCTGCATAATATTTAGTTTGACTCTAAAATACATCACAGATGTATTCAAATCAAATGGTGGCATACATAAGCCATGAATATATACATATTTATTATATTATATCCCTTGACCTGCACACACATACACACAGGCAGTCACCAAAATGAAGTGAGGTAATGTATTGACAGTCACGTTCGCTGACAGAGAAGACACAACATCATATAAACAATCTTTTAAATCAGTTTATTACGTGATGACAAGAGTCTGGCCCAGAGTATATAAAAAATGTACACAAAGTAATTACTGTGTGTGGGTAGGGGTGTAACAATATATCATGCCACAATATATCGCAATACAAAAATGCAACAATATCGTGGATAGTGACAATATGTATCGTGAATAGTTCCCCAAAATAAAAATTACTGTGAGAAAAAATTCTCACAAATGTTTTAGTGTCAGTACTACATTAAACTGCTATATACTGTTGATTATAATGTATAATAATTCAATGGGGAAATATTTGTGGGCCCTGATAATGCCAAATGACTTGTGTAACTTGACCAGTAAAAAGTGTCCAACATAATTTTAAATATATCTAAATATTTCAGGAAAAAGTGCAAGAGTATTCGTCTAAATTAATTTTTTATTTTCAGCTTCAGAATCATGAATATTTGTATTCTGGTCCAAGCCTATTCATTTAAACCTACAATGTAATATCAAAGTTAGCATTACATTTTTGTTAACCTTTTTTTATCATATGTCTCGGGCTATCGCAATAATATCGTATCGTGAGTTCAGTATAGTGATATGTATCGAATCGTGACATGAGGGTGTCGTTACACCCCTATGTGTGGGTGTCTTCAAATGTTTGTTTGCGTATGCTTTTAAAGCTACGTTCTGTATTCAGAGCACAAGCCGTAGTCTAAAACATTAATGCGTGAACCGAACGACCAAAGAGTATCTTAGGCCAAGGATGACAAAACAAATCCGAGCGCTGCCGTTCATCATTAGCATACTAATTTGTTAGTTTCGGCTCCTTCAGAACATTTTTTAAACCACATCTGTAAGTGTTACTGTCTAACATCCCTTGAAACGCTAATGCTTTGTGCATTTATACTAGAAAATGGAGATTGTATCATTGTTGACAAGGGAATGAATGCTTTTTAAGTTGTTTACTCTGAAGAAGCAACACAGAATGATGAGCAATTTTTTTCTGTGTGCTTATTTTTATGTTTTTTGCTGGGGAGAGAAGGTTTTCGAAGGAGGCAGATACCTTAAGACGTGCCCATCTAAGTTCTTTGTTGTGTTTCTGCACCCAATTTCCACATTTATGTTTCATGTTCATCTTTCCGCATTGAAGGAAATATTCAGCTGTGTCGTTTTAACAGATGGCATTGAACATAAAGCAAAGTGTGAAGAAATGAAATAGAGCGAGAAAAGGAGATAGAACGAGGACTTCACTGGGGAAAAAGCTGTCGGGTTAAAAGGAATGAGTTTCTGCACCTTTTTGGGATTGTCCTGCTGACAGGCTGCCATCTGGGAGGGAAAAGTGTGAGCAGTCATCTTTCATTTACATTAGCTCCTGCGGCTGGACCTTTCTCAAAGGCAAGGGTAAAATATCAGCATGTGTGCATAAAGTACTGCAGGTTGGATTTACCCTACTGGGAGGTCTCTGTCAAATTGTGTGTTAACTCCCCCTCCTCCCAGAAGGGCTCATGTTCCTCTGTGTCACACACAGGAGCTTTTCTGAGTCCAACATTTGCCTTTGCTAGGGGGAAATAAAAGCCCACCTCTAGTGAACTTGCATTTAAAATCTTAGTAATGGTTAAACTTAAGAGTCTTTTTCCTTGCAGTATAATCCCAGTCACGGAGATCTGAATGTTAAGGAGGCCTGGGCTCAGGGCTTCACAGGAAGAGGAGTGGTCGTGACCATCCTTGACGACGGCATTGAGAAAGACCACCCTGATCTGGCGAGAAACTATGTAAGACAATTTTTTTTTCACAAACAGTAAAGAAAGCTATATGAAGAGCAAGCATTGAAATCTATATACGTTATATATGTTAATATCAAATTTTTGGGGTCAGTATTTTTTAACAGGGTTTCCAGGTCTTAAAAATTAAAAAAAAAATTCTAAAATTTCAAAATCAAAAATTTAAGACTTAAAAAGTCTTCAATTTGCTGAAGTATTGTGTCCTAGGTCTTAAATCTTTTTAAACGGGTCTTAATTTTCCTATGTCCATGTAAATCTCATTGAAATGCTCCCGCGGCATTTTGGAATGCATTTTTTTATTTATATTACGTATTTGTAGTTCTTAATTTGCTGTATTACGACTACAAAATAGACCAACATGCAACATTATTAGTCCAACATTCATGAAGTAAAACCACTAAAAGCCTTCCTTCCGCTAGAAAAAAATAGTCCCTGACCATGCCCAGCAACAACGTTCCAATGTGTAATATGCATGAAAGCTCAAATAAACACAACATAGGAACTGCAGTGTTGCGCATTAATAAATAGAGCCATTGGGTGAAGCGGTCATAGGCGTGTTTTATCATGAATAAAGCACAGCTATTGACCAATCAGAATCAAGGATTGGAACTAACCATTTTACAAATACAAATACATTACAATCGAAAACTTTTAAATTGTAATATTTCTCAATATTACTATTTTTTAGTGTATTTTTGTTTAAATAAATGCAGCTTTAGTCAGCATAAGAATCTATATCATAATCAATTACAATAAAACAATCTTAAGCCCAAACTCTAAACTTTTTAACGATAGTGTACATTTAAATAGAAATACATTTATATAATTTATTTTGTTGTAAAATCTAAACTTTTTATAAAAAAAACAATTCCTTTTTGAAATATAGTAGAACATTTTAAATTTAGTGAAATACAATTGTAAATGCAATGAAAAAATATATTTTTGTTTGTAATCAGTCAATTATCACAATAGTCTCAAAATTAAATGTCTAAAATGTATTTTTAAAATATCTATTTCTTATTTAAAACTTAATATATCAGGCCTTAAAGGGTTAAGATGAATAGACATGCAGCATGCACAGATGCTCTTGTCATCTGTGCGTTTTCTTTTAGAATTTTAGAAGTGGTGCAATAAAGGGGACGAATTTGATGTTTTTGGAGATATTTATGGCATGTTGTTGGCATGTTGTGCTGTTAGACTGTCAGGATAATATCTGTGAAGTTGCATCTTTAAATTCATAACATTAGAATAAATTAAATCAACTTCTTATTACACATCTTATATGAGCGAGCCATAAGAAACACATCTGATCTGTGTGTGGTGGGCGTGATCCTAAATCAGACTAATTATACAGGGCTATTCTAACACTGAGTCATTCTGAAGGGCACATGCTAGTAATTTTGAACATTTGTGGTTCACTGAATTCTTAATGTTCTGGTTCACAAAAACATAATTTCCTGTTTAAGTACTTTGCATAGTAGAAATTTAGTTTCAGTAATATATTCTGGATTGTGAAAACTTTGCATAATACCTAGTTTTGCATAGAAATTAGACTCTTCACAAAGGCTTCATGAGGTATTTGGAGAAGTTACCGAACATTCCCGTTCAGCCTTATTGTACATTCTATCCCATAATACTCTCTGCTCAAATTGTTCTTGCCCCAGGTGTCACAGGGCTTTTCGGCATTTCACCATACCAATTGAATTCAAATAAGCAGTTAGCTCCTTAAGAGACATATTGGTGTGGTGATTATTAAAATATGTATTTTTAATAATAGTGTGAGTGTCCAAATATTTCTGTGATGACTAACAATACAGTCTAGGTAGGTGTGCATCTAAGCAATGCTAGAAAAAAAACCCAGTGTATTCCCAATGACAACTGAAGGTTGAGTATTACAATTTGATCCATTCGATTTATGCTGTGTTATTTTAAGGATCCCGATGCCAGTTATGATGTGAATGACAGAGATCCAGACCCTCAGCCCAGATACACACAGCTGAATGACAACAGGTAAGAATCTCTCTCTATCTCTCCTGTCTCTTTCTTTGCCGTTCCAATCAGTGCATCCACAGCAGGGTTGCCAGTTCTGTGGGACTGCAACAAACATGCCACATTGCCGAAGCTCTTAGGTTGTAAATGTTTTAGAGGTTCTTTCAGGTAAGAGGTTGTCATTGTTGTGTAAACATGCATACACCTAACTGTTTGAAAAGATTGCGAGCCACTTACCTAGATAGCATTTTTGGTGCTTTTGATCAAGGTAGGCTGCTCGTGTTATATCTGCTTGCTATCCTCTTTGGTGCATTGATTTAAGTTGTGATGTACCACGAGTAACTGCAGCTTTTAGTGTTTTGTTAGAGATATAAAGTGGATTGGAACCGTGTCATTCGGTGGGTTTAATGCTGTCAGTTCAGAGACGTGCACCAAAGGCTGTTAAATACTCATGAAAATGCATTTCTCATAACTGCACAATCAATGTGCCGTCAGTTTCTCCATTGGGAGCTCTTCCTCAGACTTTTGTTTTGACTGTCTTTCTTCTTTTTTTTGCATCTCTGTCTATTATCTAATGCCTATCAGTCGCCTGCTGCAGAACCATTGAAATTAGCTGATCAATTCTGAGCACTATTTAGAGATGCACATCTACAATCTCTCTGTCTTCTGTCTTGTCTTCCTCTTGCTCCGTAAAACGTCTCAGATTTAATTTAGCGCACTGAAAACCTTGGGATGTTTATTCTTTCTTATTGATAGACTCGTGCCCATTAAGCGTCACTTGATCAGCTGTAATGGAGGGAAGATCCATTCCGGCCCTTCCGTCCTGAAGCCCATCTCCCAGCAGCCCATCACTCTGCTGTCAGGGGGATTTGCTTTAAATCTCTTGCACTCTGGGTTTCCTGCCAGAACTCTTTTTTTTTTTTCCTGTTACTTTCTCTTGTTTTTTTCCTATTATGTTCAGAATCTCGCAGCCGAAACATGAAGAGGGCAGACTCCAAATTCAGTTTCTCCTCGGAACAGTGCAGCTTACAAAGTTGCCGAAGCAAATCTTCTTTAACAAATCTGTTAACGCTACCATAGTTGTGACGGAGAAGCCTCACCCAGCTTCTAACTCGCTGAAGTTACTGTCTTCATACCTGCTAATACCCTCGGCAGCTACTTAAAGTGTGACAGCCGCTCCTTGGCAACAGTGAAGCTTTAACAAGCATTCATAACCCTTTTGGTGTCCAGGCACGCACACATATCATAATCAATCATTGCATAGAAATGGGGGAATCCATCCCCACACCTCCGCAACCCGGCGCACAGGAAGTGCAGCACATCTCGAGCGTCTTGGCTGTCAAGACCATTATCCTGAAACTGAGTCCATGAAATGAGAAGCAAAATGCATGACTGTGTCAATAGCCAGAAACATTGAGGCCGTCTCATAGAAGGCAGATTACATCAGAGGGATTTATTCATTGGCACATTATGGATTCTCATCAAAATTATATTTTGTAAAGAGCAACCGAAAAACGGCTTCTCTTATGAAAGGCGGCTTGTTTTTTATTTGAATTCCCTATAAAATGTGACCTTGAGATGTGGTTAAATTGAAGATGGTGCCAGTGTTGCCAGGTTAGCTAGCATTCATGCATCTTTTGAAGACAAAAACACATTTTCTATATAGACTATGTATTGACAGGCTTAGGTTTCCAAACTGAAGAATAATTGTTGGCTTCATGGCTTTTTTGCACAGATGGCTACCAGTGCTTTTAGAAGAGGAGGCTTTTCATTGTTTTGTCAGGAAGACTGAGGGCTAGTACAGCTTTTAGACCGTTTTATTTTATTTATTTATTTTTTACAGAAAAAAAGCTTTCATTCTGTAACTGTATTTTTCTGTGAGGAACTGAATGCATTTTTGGTCCTTATTAAACTTGAATGAATATTGGACACTTTATAGCTTGAGATTCTCATGATGATTTAGTTGTCCTTGATGACTGTCCTAAAATTCCTCACAATAAAAAATAATTATGGCTGTCAGTCTTTATTTTGATAGCCATAATCAAATTATAAACAAATAAGACATAGAATATGTAGAGTTTAAAAATACGTGTGGATTGCATCACTACTAAATTGTTTTGTTTTAGATGCTGATTACAGACATTAGGTGCCCAACAAGGCTTAACCAATTAACTCAACCAGCCTGACCATCAATGATTTGCCGATATAGTTTTCTTCTGAAACTCTAGTGGGTACAAAAGAGAAAAATCTGAAAAAGTCGAAGATGGTTCTCCATCTGCTCTACATTTCTACCTTTGAGAAACAATTGAGATCTCATTAATACATATCTTGTTCTTTCATAAGGGACATCGCCAGGTGCTCAAAATAATGCGCTGATCCAAAGACAGCTGCCGTTCTGGGAGACGTTCTCCGAACGTTGGCACCAAGATCAATTGGTTCTCTAAACGGAGACTATTTGAATCTACTGAGAGAGAGATGGAAGTAAACACAGAGACTTAGGGAGACAGTTTCCTGTATTGAAGGGCATCGTAAGATGTTTTTCGAGTTCATTTTTTTTTATACGTCGTTCATATTCTCTTTGTTCCTGTGTATAAATGTCTGATATCCACAATTTGCTGCTTACATTTCTTTGTACCTACTCCACACGGGCAGTGCAAGTGAGCTGAATGCTTTGTGTCATTTTAGCAGCATCATGCTAATGTTAGATATTCATCCAACTACTAAAGAGGGTGGATGATGATGGCGTACGTCTTTGTTTTTGTTTTTTTTTAGCCACAATTGCATACACCTGCCTTAATCAGAACCCCCATAACCCATTTCACCAGCAGTCATCATTTCCAGGATTTAAAGCTTTTACAGTAATGTTCAATGGGTCTAGTCCTTTTGGATTGATCTGTCTGACAATGATGATTGGATAGATGTGCTTATTCAAATTCAAATAGCGGTGGCAGAAATGGTTTGGCATACACTGAGAGCTGGAAGGACATTAAGGGTCTTTCTACTTTTCCCTCTTTGTGCTGTAGTTGTGATAAGTGAGACGCTTTCTGTTGTGGGTTCATTGGAAAAATGTGGGCTTACTTGTTCTTATATGTTTTTTTGCTGCTTGAACCAACAATTGCAAATAAATGTATGCATTTTGTTTTTCACTTAATTTGGGGATTTTAATTATGCATGCTTATTTCCTAATTTTTTTATTTAGAAGACCTTTCTTTAATCTTACCTTATCCTTAATCTTTAATTACATAATGACTAATTTAATCTGTAAGTAAATATCCATTTTCCATACTACACATTATATGTGACACGGTGATGCTAGACTGATGCTTTATTTACACAATCCTACCGTAATTTTGTCGGATATGAGCTGCATTTTATTACAGATATGAGCTACATTTTATTAATCATCAGCTAATTTCAAAACCAAAGACATCAATAAGAAAGAGTGGCAACAGCCCTGGTAAGTTCATTTCGTTTCTTTACTTGAAGATGATTGTGAAGATGATTAAGCGTCTGTGACTTACTTTCACTTTTTGCGATGTTTGCACGTTGGCTTGATGAATAGACGCTCATCTGCGGTGATGCGTGTCGCAGTAGCGCCGTCATATCTGACTATAACATGTCATATAGCCTATATAACACGCTCTCACTCGTTTATTTTTTTAGCATTTTTGGGAGGAGTAAAATATACATATGCGGTTTCAACAACCAGATTGCGTTTACACCTAACAGTTAGTAAAGATCCAAACACAATGCAAGCCAGATTACCTCCAGATGGTCAGGCAGATCCGATCACAACGTATTTACACCTTGCATTAACATGCCTTTTTTTATTATCCGGATAACTTATCTAGATACAGATTGCATTTTAATACCAGGTGTAAATGGGGTCTCAGAGACGAGACCGGCGAGAAACTTCACGGGACCGGCGAGATGCCTCCACAGGGCGGGGAGATACGCTGCGTGATTGACAGATTTGACAGCAAATGGATATACGTGGAAATCAGATATTATGATTTCACAGCTTTTCATTGATCATTTAGATAATGTGAAGCATGCTGTGTTTGGAAACGAACCCGGACATTCTATCCGTCAAGAAATCATTCGACATACGTGGTTTTTATCGGACAGCGACGATATATATAAAACAAAATGCTACAAGTGTGTAATTGTAAAATAACACCCTATAAACCTGCTAGTAATGCCTTAGCAACCATCCAGAACACCATAGCATTGTGACACAGGCTTTTCTGGCTTGACATTTATATGCATATCTTAACTGTTTATTTGTTGTTTTAATTTTGGTGTTTAAGTTACTAGTCTTCTGCAATTGAGCAGAAGTCAGCTTGGAGACTCTTTGTTTTTTGTACATCGATCTCCAGGTTTATTGAATCAATAAAGAAGACCTTAAAAGTCCTCCTTCCTTTCTCTTTCTTTAATTCTAATAACGCCTGTGATGGATGGATTGTGTGAGATGGCTGTCAGCCAGAGGTCTAAATAACACTGTTAGGCACGAATCCTCTGCCTCTCCACTCAACCCTTTGCCTCACGTGACCCAGACCTGCCAGCCTGCCTTTCCAGTGCTGTCGGGCCTCTGGAATCTCATCAGAGATGCTGGAAATCTGCCTTAGCATCCACTGCTCAGTGCCAGGCAATTCAAGCTAGAGACTAACCATGACAGGCTAGATACGGTGCTTCTGAGCTCTGGAATGTGCTTCTGTAGTAACGTCAAAGACTTGGTGGTGGTTTCGCCGCCTCTTACGTCATCCTCTCATTTCGCATGCCATTGATTCTCTTTCTCTATTACTTGCTGATTCTCTACCTCCTTCTCTTTCTCCATATCCCTTTCTCATTCAGGACATGTGGGTTTTCGGAAACCCTGCCCGAGGGCTGAGATTAGATGGCTGGAAAACGCACTAATCCTTTTTAGAGTGCTTCCTAATCCAGGCCTATTAAAGAGAGGAATAGAGATGCTCTACTCTATAACACATGGATGGATTCCACCAGTCTACCAAACAGCATAC